TGAATCACACACAGTCGCCAACAATGCCCCTCATTACGATCCCGAACCCAACAAGGGAAACAACTCTGGGAAGCTACAGTAGGTATTTACAGTCGAAGAAACTTCTTTGACTCACCTACGATTTGCAGTGACGCTAGGCTAATGCAGTTTCCCGGTGTTTTTAGGCGAACAGTTCCTCGCACAACACGTCTCATCTCCTCACGCTCTTTGTGTACGAGTTCTGTCTCTGACCAGTTCGCTGTACATGCATTGCGCTCCTGAAGATGCCTCGCTAGTTCAGTGTTTGAAGCGCTAATCCGCATATTCCGTTTGTGTTCTGTCAACCTATAGTTAATGCACCTTGCAGTCTGACCAACATATTTAAAGCCGCATTCCAAAGGAATTTCATGCACTACTCCGCTGACACATGAAACAGATCTGTCGCGATGCATTTTTTTTTGCATTCTTTTTGTCCTGCCTCAGCTAAATTGAAATAACATGTGAAAACAGTGTTAACCCCAAATCTCTATGTACATGCCTTCCAGTTATGCAAAATGGTGTGAAAATATGGAATGGCAGCCCGTCGGTTCTTGACACCTCGCTTATCTTGCTTATCTTTGATCTGTAGAGCAAGCTGCCGTTTCATGAAGGACTCTAGATAGTTGGCCCTCTCCAGTCTTCCCCATTGTATTTCTAAAGACTGCTCCATGTGATGGGTGCATGACCCTTCTAGAGCGTTCTGAGTCAGAGACTTCACTACCCCTGCCTTTACAATTTTAGAATGGCAACTCTGCTTCGATAGGACGGGTATCGGCGCCTGCTTCCCATATTCCCAACACAGCCCACACTGCCCACATGAATGCGTAAATCCATAAATTGAATGACATTCTCCTCCGGCTTTTCCACAGTGCAACGCAGCTCCGGGGCCGCTGAACGTATTACATTTTGTAGAAAATCCGAAAAGTTATCTTTAGAATGCACACAATTATGTCGTCTACACATCTTCGAACAAAACCTACATCTGAAGGCAACTCTCTCATCTTGTCAACCACAACTCTGTCTAGTGTGTTGAGATAAAACTCGGCCAAAAGCGGCGCGACCGACGAGCCTATACAGTTTAGGGTTCCCCTCCGATTCCCCGGGCCCCTGTCTCCGGATGAACGTGACACAGCAATGCATAGCTCTCGGCAGAAGGGGTTTATTCCACTCACATTCTGCGGGGGGGAGTTTCGGGATCGGGACAGGTGATCGAGGAAGCATAGAAGGGGTGCGCCGCCACTGTTTGCTGCATGCCGACCGTCCCGGCGGTGCTAGTTTACACCGCATCCTGTGGACGTCGCCGTCGAGGGTCTAATCCGGGGTCTAAGTCCGGACCATGTCACTGGGCCATCGCCCCAGCCGGCGTCCTGGTCGCCACCAGCGCGAACGTCCGTCGTGGCCCGTTTCCCGCGCAAGAGTCCCCTCTCCCATCTCCCGTCGTCCGTCGTCAGCTTCCCTCGTTCCCGCGGTCGCCGCGCACCAGACAGGCGGGAGCCTCCTGTCTCCTATCGTGGGCGGTCTTTCGCTGGAGCTCCCCGTCTGGCTCTGCCACAGCACGTGCAGGGCCTCGGGCGCCGACGGCGTCCGGGAGGGGGGTCCTAGGATGTCCACCGCCGACACCGCCAACGTCTTCAAGATGGGCCCCGAGGTAGGAGGCACTCGGGCACCAAGCTTCAAAAGCGCCGCTTTCACCACGGCGCCATCAGAAAAGGAGTCCCCAGGCGCCGGCTTCCGGTTATCGTCCAGATGGGGGCTGATGGGACAACACAACAGACACCCTCCTGCTGTGGGACCGGACATTTCATCGAACGCCGTTTCGTCGAACGCTGTTTAATCGAAGCCGTTTCATCGAATGCCGTTTCATCGAACGCCGTTTCATTGAACACCGTTTCATCGAAGCCGTTTCATCGAACGCCGTTTTATCGAACGCCGTCTTATCAAACGCCATCTTATCAAACGCCAGGGTGGCATTCCCGCTTCCTGAAACTGGTCGGAGGTGCCCATCCCAGGTTCTGGAAGTTTTTGACTTGCATCGCCACAGAACATCAACTGACGGAAGACAAGCTGGAGGCGAAGGTCCGTCTTTTTATGAGAACCGACGGACCATGGCTGTGGGGGACTTTTTGAGAGCAATGGCTCATCATTTGAAACAGCAAATGGCTGTCCCACGAACACATGAACCCCCGAAAGTTTTCAAATAAAATTTGAAGTGACGTACTTACTTTTCACTTCACTAAGTTTTAAAACTAAAAAAAGAAAAAGAAACAATGGTTCGTTGTAGTTGTATAAATAGCACCTCAGCTTTAGGTACTGCAAGCTTCGGGCAGTAAAAAAGTATCAATATAAAGACCTGAGAGGCTAGGAGGCTCACATGGTTAAAGTTGTTGCGCCTGCGCAAAACCTAAGTCGCCTTCTGGCCTCCATGAGTTGGAGTGTGCTCTTACCGGGAGTGCGACTTTTAGAGCGCAGCTCTTAGGGGCCCGTTCCCGGCCTGAGCGGCGTCGCCGTCGGCGTCGGCGTCGCCGTCGCCGTCGGCGTAACCAAGGTCATCCCAAGGTCACGTGACCCCCAAGGTCACGTGACCCCTCCCAAGGTCATCTCAAGGTCACGTGACCCCCTGAAGGTCACGTGACCCCTCGAGGTCACGTGACCCCTTCCAAGGTCATCTCAAGGTCACGTGACCCCAAGATGACCCCACGTGACCCTTTGAAGGTCACGTGACCCCCAAGTCACGTGACCCCTCTGAGGTTACGTTACCCCCGAGGTCACGTGGTCGCCTCCCCAAGGTCACGTGACCCCCGAGGTCACGTGGTCGCCTCCCCAAGGTCACGTGACCCCTTCCAAGGTCATCTCAAGGTCACGTGACCCCACGTGACCCCCAGGTCACGTGACCCCTCTGAGGTCACGTGACCCCTCTGAGGTCACGTGACCCCCCGAGGCCACGTGACCCCTCCAGGTCACGTGACCCCCAAGGTCACCTGGGGGTCACCTTTGGGGTCACGTGGCCTTGAGGTCACCCCCAGGTCACGCCTCCCCGAGGTCACGTGACCCCCTCCCCGAAGTCACGTGACACCCCCCCCCGGAGCATATTAAAGAATGAGGGGAGGAGGAGGAGAAGGGGGAGGGGTCTACCCTCCCCTCAGTACCCTTCACTCCTCCTCCTCAAGAGCTGCGCTCCAATTCGGCGTTACAGGGATTTGTAAACGGCTTTCACTTTTTTATTTATTTGTTACAATACCCTCAAGGCCCATCGGGCAATACAGAGGGGTTTAACAGATAAGTACAATGTGCGAAACAAACATAAAGATCGGTACAAATGTCCTCATGGGTTACTTGCATCAAAATAAATTGTAACAGCTACAAGTTCGGACATTAAAAAACCTGACGATGAAATGGGTGAATGACACGAAAATGCACTCGATCCGTGCATAAAAGAACACCTTTCACACTTTTTATTTGAAAGACATTCGATGAAACGGCATCAGCGATTCGATGAAACGTCCATTTTTACGATGAAACGGCGTTTGATGAAACGGCGTTCGATGAAATGTCCGGGAACCCTCCTGCTGTACTTACATCCGTTCATCATACTCAATAATCGTTGACTGCAGGTATCGGTCCAGAACTATCAGAAAACCATCTACTGAAACTCCCAACTCTGACTGGAATTTCACTAGATTTAGCCCTAACAGTTCCTCCACCGCCGGCATAAGTCTTTTCTTTTCAAGAGAATAATATATCCTTTATGTCTATTGAGAAAACTGGACACTTTCTACCGTGATTGCTATTCATGACATCGATAAGATCTTCTGAATTTCTTAAGGATAGAGAATGATCCAAGGAGATTAGTCCTAATTCACGTTGGAGAAAAGAAGAGACGATCTTCTGCCAAGTGCTAATTCCATTTATAACAAATGGGAGAGGCATGTCAACCTTGTGGTCTTTTAAAAAGAATTTCAAACATAGAGTCGTCTTGGATTGGGCCATGATGCTCTTCACTACACTTTCATTTTCCTTATCTTTTAGTACGTTAAAAATGTCTCTCCTCAACTTTCCTAAATTTCCTTTCATTCTTTGTACAACGACCTTAAAGCATCGTCTGTCTTTCTCCGGAATACCTGCTCCGGGATGACAGCAAATCGTCCGGACTCAACCGTTTGAAGGAGTTTCAAAGACTTTAATTCCAGCTCCTTCTTCACCATGTTTACATCTTTGAAATTCCTCCTCTCCGACGGGTATGCGGCCCCTCTAACATTTCCTAATCTCCCTACAGTTCGACCGACAAATAAAACTCTTTCATCGTGATTCACATACAACGCAACGGTCTGGACCGCGGAAAACAGATCGTCTGGAAGGCTTTACATTCATACAAAACTTGGGACCTTTTTTCAGGATTGCTTCTGTTCTCTCCGAAATCGGTTCTTTACAAAAGTTCACTACACCTGGTTGATACTCCGACTCAATTTGACCATACATCCAAACATCGGGCACAGTTACATTCCGAATTTCATCATCTTGGTCGAGCTCAAAACATGCGATCTTTTCACATACCAAACCTGGTTTTACTGCGCCTTCTTAACATTTTCCCGGTGTCGATATTCCTTACTTGTAATAAATTCCTTGCCCCGGAGAATGTCCCACAGTCTATCGCACGCACTCCGGAGTTTGTGGATTATCTTGGTCGGGCCTTCTCTGTATGTCCTGAGAATGTTTTTCTTCGTTCTCCATGGGAGGGTGCGTATTGAAAGATGCTTGAAAATCAGCAGATAATGAAGTTCAGGTTTTCAATCACCGTGTATAACTTACACCAGCTTGCCTGCACTTTAACCGTTTTTTAAAGACATACGTTAAATAATGAATAGGTTTAGGCTAATTCATCTTCTTTTTTTTTTTTTTTTTTTTGCTTCAACCTGTTGAAATTTTAGGTGACACATGTGGTGCGAGCCTCTTCAAAGGTGGACGCTTTCTCCCAGGATATAGCAATGCCAGTGAAGGGGAATTTCCTTGGCAGGTAAGCGTACTACCACCGGTATCGGGCACTGTTCTAACGTGGTTTGAGTCGTCTGCTTGTCCCATGCGAGGCCACAATTATTGCTTTACTGTTTAGAGTCTTGAGTACAATACGCGTACACTTCTTCATACCGGTGAGTGTTTCATCTCTAAACGTGAAGAGGCTGACCGACGGCATCTTTACGAAACGAACACTAAATAGGTAGCTGTGAATTAATTATTTTCTTTAAACAACTCGGCAATTCCGAAATAAAGGACAAATTCAATTACCGACAACTTCCATATCACCTTTGTCGCTTCTTATAATTTACTCGGAATTATGAAGGAGTGAATGCGTGTGACTGCGCGCAGCCTGTATAATACAGAAATTACGTTCATACATTAAATGAATTATTATGCCTATCCTATTCTGTAGGAAAAGGAGAACGGTAAGACTAACTATAGAGTCACTGGCAGGTTACAGAGCTCTGGGTGGGATGTCCTAACAGCTCTTGCATTGTGATTTGTTCTTAAACTCATCGGAGACGTAATAAGATGCTCGGCACTGCCATATCATACGTTTTTGAAGCGTCAGAATCTTAGGTCATGCAGAGTCCCATCTCATCGCTCCACAGCCGATGATGGCTTTATCTATTGCCGTTAGCCGATCAAAAAGGCGAAGAATGAAACAAGAACCGTGATGATAACAAGCAACGACCTGCGTTTGTTCAGCTGGCGGCAACCGTATTTTTGTTATCTCTCGAAGTACGCGTACATCGCGTAGAACTGTAGAAGAGTAACGTCCCAATCGAACTCATCCGACAGATTTAGCCGGTTTTCTGACTCGTCTGGTATTTTATAACGGCGTATGCAGAATTAGTCATGCCTCGTTAATGCGAACACAAATACCCCTTTGTATAGAGAACGATTTTGGCGACGAACTGGGTAAACGTGTGCTTTTAGAGCGCAGCTCTCAGGTGCCCGTTTCCGGGTTTTGCGGCGTCGGCGTAACCACCCCGCCAAATTTAGCGAGAAATTGAATTGGTGCTGCGGTCCCGTGACGTAAATTTTCCCGCTAAATTTAGCGGGGAAAATGACGTCACATGACTTGGTGTCACGTCACCCATGAACAAATCCAGTTTCTCGGCTTGATTTAGCGGAAAAACTGACGTCACGTGACCTCAACACCAATTTGAATTGTACGAAGGAGGAGGAGGGGCATATCTTCGCCTCCGTACCCTCCCCACCTCCACTTTAGGAGCTGCGCTCTAATTTCGCGTTACAAAGTTTTGCAAACGTCTTTTTTTTTTTTGCCTCGTTATTACGAGCAACTTACATTATGGACACATTTACTTCTTTTTTTTTTAAGGGGGAGGGGGAGATAGACAGGAGTGATGGAGGTGTCGGTATCAACGAGACTATTACCCCGCTCTCTGTTCCACTGCAGGTGTCTCTCAAGACCAAGACATATTTTTGTGGGGGATCTATCATCGAACCCGACATCGTTGTGACAGCTGCATATTGTGTAAACGGGCACGTATACGGTTTGCATGGTAAGAAAATGTCACTGAGCAATGTACTTTCCTTCCAAGGCAAGATCCAGCGGATATTGTAGTCCAGGCTGGAATTTTGGACCTCAATAACCCGCCCATATACTGCGAACTGCGCCATGTAAGTGTCACAGCATTATAAAATGATGGCGTCTTTTTAGAGTGTTAATTTCGTTTTGAGGTTTAGGACACGCGAGAGATACTGTACGACTGAGTGTCCATTAGTCACTCTGTTCAACAAGAGGTGAAGTTATGCTTGCTCTATTCTCGTTGTGACGTCAAGTAAAAAGGCAGGCTTGAGCCTCATTGTTGGGCTGCGCGCAGTAGTTCTTACAAGATTTGGTCGTTGAAGGAGGAAATGATGCTTTCAGCAGCGTTTGAAACGTCTATGTCTTGATAGAATGACATACATTTGACCTAATACGATGCACCAACATATATCTTAATTCAACAAGTGACTCGGCAAATTAGCAACATTCAGCGAAAACAGAAACAGACTTTGTTTTCACTACGGTTCTGCAGATGAAAGCGAGTCTAGGTATACAAAGACATTTCGGGGAGGAGTGTAAAATAAGTAAATCATTTATATATACCGGGACAAAATATTAATCGAGCCATGATTAAAATAACCACTCTTCTTGGGAACACAAGACCTATTCGGAACAACTCCGCTTAATTCGGTCCTCTCGTCTGACGCTAGCGAATGGAGTGGGAGGGTCCTTCTAGGGTCCAGCCATGTCCTTACTTCCGATTAGATATCTACGTAACGCGTTACTAGTAACGAGTTTTTTCTAGCTAGTTTCCATTTTTGGCGACTAGCAACGCATTTAGTTACCTTTTAGGACAGCAACGTGTAACGTTCTTAGCTAATTTTAGGGCCATGTAGCGAGTAACGCTATTTCGTTACGTCTGAGGGGTAACGTGGGCGACAAAATAGACTCGTTTTTAATTCTTAAAATGAGTATGTGTCTATTTCGACAAAGGCAGATGGGAAAACGCGAAAAAACAATTAAACAGTATGAGAGTATAGCAACGTTCATCGCTGAGCACGTCAGTCGAACTCTACACCTGGGAATATCCTTCACCCAGCGAGCACAATACGGTTCGTCGGTTGAACCATCCGGAATTGACTACAGATCGAATGTAAATCCGGAGGTTGCCAAACGCGGGAAGCCACGTAACTCATTGTGAACTTCGAACATTTGAAGAGGAGAGAACAATTGATAGAGGGGACTTCTAGATTCACCAGGCCTTGGTGAAGCACAACACGGGCGTTCATTCGAGCGCGTCCTTAGAACGGCTCTTCAGCCTCGCCGGAGATGTATTCGCAAAGAAGCGGGGATACATAACTTATTAAAATTTCGTGAAGCAACTACTGCTTAAGTGTAATGGCTACTGAAAAAAAGATATCAAAAGACCATAAAACAAAAGCAGTTGTCTATTTGGTCGCCAAAGTAATGTTAAAAGTAACTCGCTACTTTTGAGGTAAAGTAAAGCGTTCCTTTTTGAGAATCGGCAACGAGTAAACTATTATTTACTTTTTGAGAGAGTAAAAAGTAATGATATTTAATTACTTTTGGGGGTAACGTGAACATGTCTGCTAGCGATAGCTTACCAAGAATTTTATCGGCACTTGAAGTGGCTCTGGAGATCTCATTTCAATGGACGGACTGATCAATTAATACTCCAGTGAGAATTATGCGATTGTAACGAATAAATGGACCGTTTTCGTCATTGCCCGCAGGTGCGAAAAATTGCCATTCACGAGTCGTATCGATTCCTGGTCAACAATATAGCTTTGCTCAAGTTGGATGTCCCTTTTGACTTTGCCAAGAGCCAGTGGCACATCGGCGCTGTCTGTCTTCCCGCCAAGGATCACCCGTTAAAGGGCAACGTTGTAGTCACCGGCTGGGGAGCCATATCACACGGTAATGGAGGCTCGAGTTGTTACAGCTGCTGGTTTGGTGCCTATTGAGACAGCGCTGAGGTCAGTTTTAGCACCTTCAGAACTACTCATTAATGTTTTTTTTTTTTTCTTCTTGCTTTTTGCTTAAGACAATATTTTCGAACGCCACAAAATCGGCAACGGCAGGTGCACAATTCTCACCATTAAGGACTACCGAATTTCACACTTGTGCGACTGGAAACCTTTTATTAAGTCCCTGACGACATAAGAACACCGGGCCGTGACCTATTATGATCACGTGTCTTGCTCGCCAACATTGCTGCAATTTTCCCTCTCTCTACAGTACGATGATGTTGTATAACTGGCTAGCCGAGTAGGCGCCCTAGAAAAGCACACTAATTTCAGCGTGTATGTTTTATTATTATTTTTGTTTGCTGGCGTTAGTTTAACTAACATCCGTTTTACACCACCGAACGTATTGTAACCCGTCGCAAAGAAGCTGCGATGCTCCTATATTGCCCCATATTACGAAATGATATATCCTCTCAGCCTCTCAGACGGTTTGCAAACTTCAATGAATGCGCGAAAAAAAATATTGTGACTGGAAATGTGCGTTAGTAGTTCAAATCTGTCTATAAATGCACTGAAGCAGTCTTGAAGGAAATCAGTGACTATCAAAATTTCGCCAGAGCTAACGTGCGATGCAAAGGCTCACACTCAAGTTAGCTCCTTCCGGGTATGGACACGTTTAGGCATTTCTATTTCGATGCAATTACAACTGGCCCTTAGGTTTTGCTGCTGACTGTTTTGGTCGCTTAGCTTCTTCACAATTGGCATAAGAGGGCCCTTTTGGGTCAGCCCTGTGCTCCTATGCCGACGCTACTAGCCGATTGATCTAATCAGACAGCGTCAGAAGCACATCATCCTGATGTTCGTCGTGTTTCTGCACGCGTTCTATCATCGTTGAACCAATCATAAACAGAAAAAATCTAGTGACTAGTGGACTAAGGCTGAAACGAAGTATAGCTGTCACCAACGTGAGTTGAATGACAGTTGGTCGTCTACCATTTCAGTAGTTTATGATGTCGATAGAACACTAAAAATTCAGTATTGTTTTGAGAAGGATGGGGCACAAGCGTTGACAAAGATCAGCCCTTTAGGAGCTTTCAATTACTCATGAAAGGAAGCGTTTTCGTGTGCATGTTTACGCAGCCTGAAGTTAGTCTGCCTCAACTAGCGACTTGTCTCTCAGCTGTTGACGAGACGTTTAGCCAGTGCTGTATAAACGTTAGCCTGGAGTCTTTAATCTGCACTACACAGTAGTGATTCACGACTTCACGCTGGTACGATGCTCATCCAGATCGAAACGGGCAGAGGAGGGAATTGACCGATCTCACCAGCAAGTTTGGCTACGCCACCGCTGCCGGGATTCATCCAGGGAACTTTAGTCTTTCTGCACGTGCAACAACCTCGCTGAAGCTTTGCGCGATCAGAGCATGAGACTGCACGAGCCGTATCGTGCACTGCCGCCTGTCCCCTATGAACTAAAGTTATGGCGGCGTCACGCATGCGCCAATGCTTGGTGAGATCGGCCGCAGCGCGAGCTTCCGCTTCCCGTGCTCCGAGCTGGTGTGCGCTCCGCTGCCACACTCGGCCACCGATCCCTTTCATGACAAGTATCAACAAGTAGCACATCCAGGAACAAACAAAAGCGATTAACAAAATAGAATATGACGAGGGCAAAATCGCCTGATGCCCGGCGTCGGCTCCTTTTATTAAAGGAGCCATAAAACGATTTTACTACTTTCGCTAAATACTACTTAGAATCACTCCGTAACGTTAATAACTGAATAAACTTGCCTTAGTGTTCCTTTTTAGGAACTGGCAGTCGGCAAAAAAAAATTCGAGAAATATGAGCATCGTCCATCCCCTCAAATCAGAGCCACAACAAGCGGCCACGTGGCCTGGTGCTTTTCCTATGCCGCCCAACGTTAATCATAACCAAGCACTAGGGTTGGCAGAGTAAAAAAAACCGTGCTAGGCTCGCATTGTTAGAGTTCAGCTATTCTCATCATTGCAATGGTTGGACACGAGCCAGTACCCGATTAGACACCCAGTTCTCGTGTCCAATCCATAGGGTTGTAACAATAAACGCTGGAGATTCACGTGGCGCTAGTGTGCTGTTGCATTTTGAAGCAGACAGCAAGCAGTCTAAATTTGACTTCCGGTGATGCATTCCTACGGAAAAACGCAAATGCGTTTTCTCTTCGCGTTCGATTATAAGAGCAAATTTTGCTTAGTGTTGTGACAGAATAAATAGTTTGGAACGTTTTACCATCGGATGCACAAAAATATGTTTCACTGAGAGCGTTTTTCTTTGGAATTCATGGCGTTGAACACTGCGTTAAAATAGCCCAATGCACTTGTATAATACATGATGACGTTGCGGACTGCTGTTAGAGGGCACGTATTTTGCGTATAGCCTATGCTATGAAGTACACAGAGTGAATCAGCTTGACGAAATACCAAAAGAATGCTAATATATGCCAAATGAAACAATCAAAACAGACAAAAACGAAACATGGTGTTACGGAACGAAGACCACTTATTACATTTGTAACAAACTGTGCATTAGTAACAAACTGCGTTTCAGCCGTCTGAATGCTATTACAGCTTGAATAAACTCTACGCACTTTTTAAATGTTCTTTTAGAGCGCAGCTCTTAGGCGCCCCTTTTTGGCTTAAGCGGCGTCGGCGTAAACGCGCGTTGCATTATGGGTTGTGTGACATCACACGTGACGTCACGAGGGCTACCCTCGTGAGGATAACCCCCGCGTGGGCTACCCCAGAGGGTTACTCTCGTGAGAGTCACCCTCACTAGTTACCCTCGTGAGCGTAACCCCCGTGAGGGTTACCCCCGTGAGGGCTACCCTCGTGATGGTTACCCTTCTAAGGGTAACCCTCACGGGGGCTAAATTTTGTCAGGGCTTAGCCTAGAATGGAGATGGCATATCACGGTGGTTACGAGGGTAACGTCAAAACGTTTCCCTCGTGCGACGTCATTATGAGAAACATGTGACGTGTGACGTCACGCGTGGCGTTACGTGACGACCACGCATCTAACATTGCCAGTATTCCCACTAAATTTAGCTGGGAAGGAGGAGGCGCAAACCCTTCCCTTCGTTTCCCCTTCCTCCTCCTCCTTAAGAGTTGCGCTCAATTCGGCGTTTCAGAGAATTGTAAAAGTCTTTCATGTTTTTTGCTTGAATTTCGGGCTTGTATTGACTTATCACGCTGTACAACATAGGCCTAGGCCTCAATTTTTAGTAACTTAAACATTGCTCAGTAATAAACAAAAAGCATTAACTGAATAAATTACTCTTCTTATAATCTGAATAAAGCTACATAGTACCCGTTACGAGTAAAGGAACTACGCTGATTTCTATTTTTTCCCTGGCGAAGAGAAACATATCACCTACGTTTTCCCATGGGAATACACAGGAAGACTGGTAAAGTAGACTGTTTGCTGTATGCTTCAATTTGCAACCGGAAGTCCCGTAGACACTAGCGCCAGCTGAGCATCTAGAGTTTATTGTAATAACTTTATGGTCCAATCCATGAGCCATGCTCGACTGTCGTCAGGCGGGTGGTTTTAACCCCACATTTACGTCATCAAGCTTTGCGAAGCCAAGGTTGAAAGAAATATTCCACTTTTATTCTCGATATTTCACCGCATAAAAGAAGCTTCTGAATCAGGCGCGGTTAGTGCGAGTATACTTGGGTCAGACTAGCACCAGTACGCCTCTGCAAAGTCACGAACATTCCAACCCGATATCGTTTTATAATCCCACTAAAAAAATAAGGCTATAAGCCCGTAACTCTCAAGTTCAGCCAGGCAAGCAAAATAGAATATGTGTGGTTTGCGTTTCAAACATGCGTCATTGCAACGGACCTTTTCCACATACCGACGGCACCAGGCGGGGGCTGCACGAACAAAAAATGGAGGAAGTGACCTACCTGCGCTACCAATCGATAACGGGAGCTACGCTATCAGTTCCTTCGCTCTCTTAGCTGCGGCGCGTGCCCAACGTGACTTTAAAGAGGAGCATCCGTGGCGTCCACCCAAACGTCGTGTTTTTTCTTCTATCCACTTTCTTTGTTTGTGTAGCACAATTATATACATGCAGCAATTACGTGTTCTACTCGCTGATCCCACAGCCTATTTCCGAATTTTCTCGATTTTTTGGTGCCGAGTTCCGCCGCTTGGCATCGGGCGCTCGCGCGTGCGCAGAACACTTTTCGAAAAAGGTCCATGCACAACAATAGATTTTTTTTTTAACTCCTTATCACTATAAGTGTCAGCGAGCGGATGCTACAAGAGAGAGAGCTCCGAGCTTTTAGTCATAGTTTTGTTTAACCCGAGACTGGGGTATTTCGGAAAAGGGACGAGAAGAAAAGAGGCCACAAGGAGGCGACGTCTCAAACACAGCTAAGGATTTTATTCCATCGCATGCACTTTTATACACACCACGTCCACACACCACCAACCAAGTCAACCAATGACAACATACCACCCGGAATACACTAAGCCAAACATAGGCCCAAAAACATTACAAACGAAAAATCTTTCAGCCAGATAAAAGGACAAGATAAGCCTCCGACCACACAAAGTCAACTAAAAACCGCTAAAAGTTTTTTTTTTTTTTTTTTTTTTTGCCAAGTGCGTGCGCTCCTGCAGTGCGAGCATAGTTCAGGGGAACACGTTTTGCAAGTAGCTTCGGCTTCGCTAAGGGAAACATGCCTGCTCACGGAGGCTATGAACGAAAGCAATACAGATCACAAAGCAGAAAGGTATGATTGATGGGGCGCTGACGCCTTGAGTTGCATAATTATTTCCTTTTTCTTTTTTCTTTTTTTTCCTTTTCCTCTGACTTTCTGTTATCGTCAATTTACAGATGCTGACACATGCTTTTATTGGAACGTGGCACGCGCACAATCGGACATTCCAGCCCCGCTTTTATGGTCGTATCGCGTGGATGGTGCAGCCAGCATAAGATGGTCGCGTCTTGCGGACGCGCTTGCACTCCCTGCTCGAGAACAACATTGAAATGTTTACAAGTCCTCAGCCCAGCACGCTCATGTTCTTTGCTTCGGAAAGCAAGCAGAACGCGCGCCATACACACGAGCGCTGAAAATGGAACCGACCAGGAGACCTTTTAGAGCGCAGCTCTTAAGCGCCCAGCTGCGGCTTCAGCGGCGTCGCCGTCGCCGTTGGCGTCGCCGTCGCCGTTGGCGTCGCCGTCGCCGTCGGCGTAACCGCGCGGTGCATTATGGAAGATGTCCCATGATGAAAAGCGCGGGGACGACGGGGGGGAGGGGGAGAAAAAGGAGAAGGACGAAGGGGAGGCGAGGAGGAGGGGAAGGAGGGAGGAGAGGGGGTAGAGTAGGGAGGAGAGGAGGGAGGGGAGGAGGAGAGGAGGGGAGCAGCTTCAGGAATGAGGGAGGACGGGGTGAAGGAGGACGAGAGGAGGAGGAAGGGAAAAGAAGGTCAAGGAGCAGGAAGAGGAGGGAGGAGGGGAATACCCTCCTGTCAGTAAGTACCCTTCCCTTTTCCTCCTCAAGAGCTGCGCTCCAATTCGGCGTTACAGGGTGTTGTAAACGTCTTTCATTTTTTTTTTTTTTTAAAGGTCACGAGACGCCATATTGCTGAACGTTGTTGACAGCTCGTCCTCAGAACATGATCCCATTTATCGACTCCCAGAAACAACGATTGTGATTGTGTAGAACTGACGTTGAACGTGCACACTGGTGCATTCCTAGCAGGCAGTGAAGTCGAGGCTATGGCTACCCGTGCACTCGCGAAGCTTCAGCACCGATCAAAGCTCAGCACGCGGCGCGGTGTTCGCTTCTTTTGAAATCCCAAAAAAAGTTCTCCTCGAGCATCATTTTGAGCACGACCGGCGTAATTTCGAGAATACGTAGCGAACAACGTCCAACAAAATGACGTCCCGTGTATGCCTTCTATAGTAATACGATCTGTGTGAGTTATGCGATCAGGGCCAGGGGGACATAATATAAGAAATAATCGTGATGATAAGGCGGTTAATTAACTAAAATTCTTTCCTTAACTTCCCAATTACTGAAGATAAAGATGTGGTTCCATACAGACACTTGCTAAACGTCATCGATAACCACTAAATGGCTAATTATAGAAATATTTGGGGCGCATGTGTTTCGCGGTAGTGCGCTAAGGCCACCACCAGTGCAAGAAAGCAATGCTAGTGGTGGAAAAACGCACCCGCGCGTTTGTCCCGTTTCCTACCATCCGCAGTTTCCAACCACCAGCATTGCGCCCGTTGCACCAGTGGTAACTTTAGCGCACCCACAGCACTTTTCATTCGCGTAACACTTTTATTTTTCAAATTGACTTCTATAGTTGCTTTCAATGCCTCTTAGTCATTTTATAGTTGTAAACATGTGTTTATTTTCGTTAATTAGAAGTATAATAAACAAGTTGTACTTAATCATTCGACTTATCGTTACCATTAGCCCGCCATCTTATGTCTCTCTGGCTGCCTAAGGGCTCATTCACACTGGAAGCGGATGCGCGTTCGCAAAGCGGTTGCGAACGCGGTTGTATAAGGATTCAGTACAATTGCACGCGCATTTGATGACATCAGATGCGCGTGCATTTGCACTGGATCTTTATACAACCGCGTTCGCAACCGCTTCGCGAACGCGGATCCGCTTCCGGTGTGAATGGGGGGTTACTCCCCCTCGCAAACCGCATTAGTAAAGTTTTCACATTTTTATTCTTTTGTTGACAACTGATTACAGAATAAATGAAACACTATACTTTTTTATGAAATCAACTGCTTGCTAGGATTACTTAAGACTTTAAAATTAGCTAAAGAGCAAAATTAGTAGCTTTTTACAGAAATTAAAAGGGTGACGTTTAGTGTAAAATTTGCGTGCGAAAGTTTTGAGAAGCAATGGGATATTGCCGCGCGCACGGCTAAGCAAGCTCCGGCCGGTCAGGAAATTCTAAGAGATCCGCGTTTATTCATACTTAGGGCGTCACTTTTATCATAGCGTCTTAGTTTCTTGTTCTCGAAAGTGACTGTTCATTCTCACCCCGATTGCTCGACGCTCGAACCTTCTGGGCCGAATTTTCGCGATTCCGACGCAGACTACATAAGGAGCCGCCGGGACCTTGTCCCCCCGAGTCAGTCTCGCTCTCGCTTGCTTTTACGCCGCTGTTACGCCACCCGTTTTTACGCTGCCTGCTCGTTCTTTGTTTTGTTTGGCACAAGTTCGCCGATTAAACCTTTATTTTCAGTTCACTGTTCATCCTCTCGTCACTCACATTTGTGGAAATATTATTGAGCAGTGTGTGTTGTCGTAGTAGAGTGACATGTGCTTTGTGTTTTCGTTTGTTTTGCAGTTCGAATTTCTTTTTAATTTTGGAAAATGGAGACTTTTCTCGTATAACACGATACTGCCTAGACTATACACACTCTCAAAGCTCTAGAATACGTGTAGCAGAAATTTAATAGTGAACTCTGCAACCACGTTCATTTGAAGAACGAAATATACAGTCCTATTTAGTTATACTGAAAACTTTGCTGCAGCTCGCGGTATTGCCATATTTGCTTGCAAGAACTATTTCTATATTCAAAGATTGCTCACGCGTTTTAACGCGAAAGCCTTACTTGCCCCATTGAGTGGAAGATCAAAGTAAAGGGCCGTAAAAATGCAATGGCGCGGCACGCACCACTCAATCGTGTGATCAAAGACGACACCATCCTTAGCTTCATCCTAGAAGTCGTCCTAGAACTCTAGGACTTTAAGATGATGTCGTCCTAGAGGTCGTCCGAGACATCTAGGACGACCTCACATGTCACAGTACGTGAAAAACAAACGGCGGCGCCGGTGTTGTGCCCGAAAGATGGCCGTAAAAATAGGTCATCAAGCGTCGTTTAGCGTGATGTCAGCAAGCGTCATCATACGTCATCAGTGTGATGTCACCACCGGAGCGCCATGTGCAAAAGGCACTCTTCGGATTTCATCTGTGCTTATTGTGTGCGTCGTGCGATGTACTGTGAGGCGACCGCGTCTACATATACGGCCTCGACATCGGCAGCAGTGTCTACATCTACGGCGGCTTCCGCAGGCAAACGTGGCTGCTCACGCATATAAGCCACAGCCTCCTTAGGTGTCCTTTTCTAGGCGTCGTTCTCGACGTCGTCCTCTAAGCATCATTTTCAACGTCGTCCTTAAGGCCACCCTTGAGGTCGCCCTAGACGTCGTTCTTGAGGTCGTCCTCGAGGTCGTCCTAGAAGTCGTCCTGGCTGTAGTTTTGGACGTTATCCTAAACGTCGTCCTCTAAGCGTTGTATTTAAAGGTCGTCCTAGAAGTGGTCCTTGAGGTTACTCTAGGTGTCGTCCTCGAGGTTGCCCTAGAAGTCGTCCTAGACGTCCTCTTTTAGGTCGTCCTCGACGTCGTCCTATACGACGTCCTAAAATTTAATACGTATAGAAACATTACTCGAAAATGTTTCTCCCGAGGTACTATGATGCTTTCTCTTTCATGTAATATGCTTATTTTGCTTACCGATTTTAGAAGCTTCCGTTTTTATCGAGCTGACTGCTCCGGCTGGTATAGTTTATAGCCTTGACATGTTTTATTTACATTAACTAGTAGCTTCGCTTTGCTGGAATTACTGACTTGTTTGCCCTCCAACAGTTATGTATTCTTTTTTCTTTTACGGGTCGTATCAGCATCATTGTTTCAGGCTTTTTTTTTTTTTGCGTAGACCCGTATGATTTAGTTTTGTATTAATGTATAGTAAATGCAATATTTAAATTATTTATCATTTACTTGTTTTAACTAATCGTTCGCTCACTCCTTTATACATTTACTTAGTTTATTAGAGAAGAACAGAAAAGAAAGAAATGTTGATTTGTTGGTTAAGATTTTTTATTTGTGTATTTCGTAAATTGCAGCTGCATTTTACTCTTGTGAATAAGAGTGTAGGTCAAGCTGTTGGTTAAAAGCAATAAAATAAGCAAAACGAACACGTCACACCCTTAGTGCCCGTACTTCGTGACGGGCTTCTTCTTGACCAACTCAGTTTCTCATCGCTCACTATCTTGTATATCTTTCCTTCCGTTTAAGACGCAGCCTTTATTTTTCGCAGGAACAAAATAAACATTAAATTTCATCATTCATAGAACGAGAATTCTTCCAGAATTTTACAGCAGATACAAATCTGGCGATTAAGAAATTAAAAAATAAAGCAAAGACGAACAGTATTTTAGGTTGCGAGCCAACAATAAGTGAACGCTCCATAACCTTGGATCCTTCCCAGAGTCTGGTATTTCCTTAGGGCTATACTGGTGAAGGAATTTGTGGGTCCTTGGTTTCCACGGATCTATTCCTTTCTCATGAAAGTTAGACCGAACTGTATTTACAAGCGTGATTGCTGCTTTCACAGTTTCCTGCTGACCATGAGGGGCAACAAAATGAATCAGCAGCTATAAAATAGAGTTTCGTGAAACAGTTCCTTAAACTCTTATCGATAGCGTTTGGGAAAAATCAAATATAAGGTTAGATTAAGGGAAATGTTCTGCCAGCTCTGGCTATTCCTTGGCAGGCATGTCTCACTTTTTTTGCTAACATTTTAGTATAAAAATTAAAAATAAATTCTCATAGACTTTTTTACATAAAGATAAATCTAATCATGAGTGCTCTTATTTCAGGCAGACCAACTTCTTCGCATCTGCTCGCTCTATCAGTTCCTGTAAGACCGCCTATGATATGTACCCGGCAAACTCAGGAAAGTTACAATTCCAAGATCATGTTCTGCGCCGCAAGCCCCGGGAGGGACTCGTGCCAGGTGAGGGACTTCTGGCAGGTTCAGGCTTGTCTCGCGCGAATTGCAGTAGTGTAGGGTTCTCGAATCTCTCTTGAATGAAATATCAAACTTCCAAATGAGGGCTACGACGGTCTGCCCTACACATAAATGACGGGCTACAGTGTCGAATATCTAACTGCAAGCAGGCACATTTCGTTAATTCAAGGTTAATCTTTAGATGAGGTTTTAAATGCAATGATACCATTTTAAGTAACGCGTTATTCATGCAGTGACTTGGATACCTTTAGCGAAAATTAATACGTTTGAAATATACCCCATTCTAATTTGAGTGTATTTGAAATACAGTTCATAATTGTAAGTACACGAAAAATAGACCGAAAATATAAACTTGTTTTGTTTGTTTTTTACTTAGTACTAAAACATACTTCTAAAAATATTTTTAAAATACATTTGAAGTTCCCTTCATGCGTTCTGAAATATGTAAATACTAAATTAGTAGGCACAAAATACCTTTCACATAGATTTCTTGATATATTTATTTAATTCATGCAAAATATACTCCAACCCTAAAAAAAATGGAGCGATCAAAAATACGTGCAGAATACTCTTTAAATACCTGAAAATCGTAAATACTGTTGTGTTATACTCTAAGTACCTTTTTACTGCAATACGTGTTGTTTGACTTAAACTACCAAAGTATTATTGAAAAGCTCGCCTTCTAGAAGTTCACTTCAACCAGATGTGGAGTACACTGAAGCGCCTATATACAACATTTGATTAGTTTGTCAATTGAGTTGCGCAGCATCGCACCGATAAATCAGCCCGTTTAATGTTCTCGTTTCCTTTTTTCTATCAAGAACACACCTGATGAGTTTTTTGCAGACCAATCACAAACCGGGTTCGGGAACTACAACCACAACACTTGCTGATGCTGCAAAGCTTCAACAAGTGCTGTGAGCAGATATGTTTGGCGTGGTTTTGTTAGCACAATGTTTGTTGACTGAATGTGTATACTCACCATTCTACGTGATGTGAGTAGTGACTTTATTATGGTGACATTAACGACCATATTAAACAGTCAACTAGTAAAAAAAGCAAAATAACTACTGTAAAATATTTATTTTTTGCGGGCTCAATATTTCGCGATTTAGGTCAAAGTTGCAGTTTTGGAATATTTCAAAATTCTAATTTTCGCGACGCGCTGGGATCGCAATATAGATTTTAATGTTTTTTTACATTTTCTCGGAATTGTTAGTGGGACCTAATTTTCGGAATTTTAGGCGATTCGCGAACTTTGCGAAAATTAGGTCCGCACGAAAATGAAGTCGTTTACAGTATTTTAAAGGGAAACTACTTGACTCGCTTCTTCCGGAGGGGGGCTACACAGAGAAGCCATAACATTTCTTCCAGGAGCCGTTTGTGGGGATATTATTTTAGCGACTGCGCCGAATTATTATTAGTTGTACCAATGCCTATTAGTAAGAGATATCGTCCACGAACTTCAAAACACTGTTGCCTTTTCACAGACTCCCGAGGAGAAGGTCGAATACTTGGGACCTTAATAAGTGCAGAGGTGGTCACCGGCCAAATGATTACCTTCAATATGTAGGCTATATAAGGCTCTGGAGCAGTCAACGGGACTGTGGATCAGGTGTTCAGTTCGTCATGGTGTTTGCGTTCGTTTCTAATGTGTAGTTGTGGGATGTATTTAGTAGTGCCTTCAAATGCCACAGGGACACCATTTGCTAACAAAATCCAAAAATAAAGAATTAAAAAAATTGTGTAGCCGGTTTTTAGTACACAAATGGCAACCTGAGTGGGAAGGAATTATATTTTTGGTATATCTAAAATCTTTTTTGATTCATTATTATGATATATTTGAACACCTTACGCGCGTATTTCGAATGCGGACAAAATTATACATAATAAATGCAAAATTAATATTCATATTCAATATATTTCAACTTCGTTTGAAGTACGGTCTCTTTTTGCTAAGGGTATATCGGTCTGTATATACGAAGGGTGACCCAAATGAATGGGCGAACTGGATGTACGCAGAGCATGTTTTTCTAAAATACACACGTGATGCTATGGTATTTTATAACCTTGGTACGACATAGAGCAAAGGATACTTTCCGGGTTCTTGCTGTTTTTATCTCATAACTAATAACCTAGTTCAAACTACACAGGGGATTGCTTTTACATTTTTTTTTGTGCTCTAACAATCTTTCATTTACACACCTTGCCGTTTTACCGACATACTTGAAACCGCATTCTAGTGGTCAAACGGAAAGGAGCGTAAATGATAAATTGATAGAGCACGAAAGAAATGTAAAAGTAAACGCACCCCATTCAGAGATTGCTAAAACATTAGTGAGTACAACGATTGTATGGCACTTTGGTCGCACACTGACATTGTGCACAAAGAGCGTAACAACACTGAGAGGTTCATGAGAAAGGCCATTCGTAGCAAATCCATCGGTAACTGTATAAGCCATGCTTCGATGCAACTCGAAAGTAATTACAAGAAGTTTCTTTAAATGTAATATTTTTGTCTCTTTTTTCTTTCTTTTTTTGCAGTTGTAGGTGAACGTGCAATGAGTCATTTTGCGGGCAAGGGTTTAATCGGAGGACATATCAGTTCTCGTTTAGATAAAGCACAGCCCTTTCAGACTCCCCCTGGAAGGGAAGTGGGTCGGTGGGATTCGTTTGTTCAAGATCCCAAAGTTTTCAGTTTGGAATTGAGGTCACAGTTTACGGTTCAAGTGAAGATCAGAGTGTGTTGGATTAAACATTTTAGTGAAAAGCCCGAGACTGAGGTAATGACAGACGACGAAGACAAGGAAAAGAAGGAGAACGTCTCAAACACAGCTGTGTAGGATTGTATAACAAAGGTTGACTTTGTGACTTCGGTGATCGGTGATTAGGTTGTGGATATATAAGGTTTTGAGGAAATGGGCGCAGTAGATGAGTTTGAGACGTTCTTTTTCCCCGTCTAGCTATATCTACGACCAAGTTTCCCAGCTTTTACCACAGTCTATGGTATTCTACATCACGATCAACATCCACCAGCTCGCCTGCGCACTCACTGTTTGTTCAATGTATATAGGGTGACTTCGGCGGTCCAGCCGTGCAGAAGGAAAGCGGTTCATCCATCCTTGTCGGCGTGGTCTCGTACGGCGCTCCCTGTGGCTTGGTTCCGGTCATCTACACCAGGGTGTCAGCCTACACTGCCTGGATTTATAAGAACATCGCCAAGTTACAGTCGTGACAGCAAGCTCTGTCTCCAAGAAAGAGCAATACATATTCCGGAATACATGGATGAAAATAAAGCGGTAGAGCGTCCAAAACCTGCTGCGTCGATTATCCAGGACCTTTTTCTCTTGGCGTCACTTTTAAGCATGCATAGGACACAAGTACTGCTTCAGCACTCGGCGAAAACTGGAGCCCAATCACAAGCTTCGTGCACGAAGCGGCACCCAAAATATGGACGCCGCCAGTGTTGATTGATGAATTTTTGGAAAGGGTATAATATTAAATTGCGCTTTATGACTTGCCTATGCAGCATACAAAGGTCGCAGACAATACGTAGCGTTGGAATGAATCTAACCTTGCATATTTGCAAGCGATCACCAGGAGGATAAAAGTCACCACCTCTAAAACTAATTTTATTCACGTAATTATTGTTTTGTTTTACTTTACAGTGTGTGTCGTTATTGGTAAAATAAAATTGATTTTGGATAATCACTCTTAAAACAAGGCAGCTGAGGAAGGAATCACCAGCTCCAAGACGTTCCGGATCGGTCTAGTTGAAGCAGGGTTTCAAGCATCACCCGGGTTTTAGAGGTTTGTGTTCGTATACAATATAAATAACCCTGCCTCTAAACAGAAATTGAGTCTTTTTTTTTTTTTTTTTTTTTCAAGAAGCGTGCAGTGACGCTTGTCACTTTTTATATTTTACAATAAGGCTGTGAACACTATTAGCCCCGAGAGCGAACACAAGCGTCGCTGCGGTCGCCGCGCCTTGATTGGGTAAGGTGTACCGTGACGTCAGGGGGAGGACTCCGCTCCGCGATCTCGCATCGGCTCGCTTCCCAGCACCGGTTTCTTCGTTTGGCTTCGTTCGCCGCAAGCTCTTCGAGGAGCTGGACTTCGTTTACCTGGTGTACAAGACATTGAATTAGGCTGATATTGACGTGCTTCCGTACATTTTATAAGCCTGCTTGTCCTTTTTACCTTTAAAATTGGGTTACAAATCCCGAAAGCTATTGGCGGAGGCAATTCCGCCGATGAACCTCCCCGTGCGTCCACACAACACAAGGCAATTTTGCGAGAGATCAGTGACGCGGTGGCGCAGGTGTTTCAGACGCTGGAATTCTGTTCCTTGCATGTTCACGATTTAGAATTATATTACATCCCGCTTTGTAGGCGTTTGAAGTGGCATTTATATCATGGGTGGTCGTCAAATTAGCTCGCGACCCCGACTCTGCGCTGCCACTCTGCATGCGCTGGTTCGCAGATATTTTAAAGGCCCTGCGTCTGGTGATCCTTGAAGTGCTCGTGGAACAGGGTTGTTTTACATAAATGTAGCTTCTTCGTGAATTAATTATATAGTTTATACACGTATGCACTCATATTTCTCAGAAGATGCACAATTACTGGAAATTAGTTTGTATGGTAACAGCAAAAACGGCCGAATTGCCTCCAGTTGCCTGTACGATATGTATTGAACTACCCAAAATATGCACAGCAATAGTGCCGTAATTTGGAATGTTTATGCTTCTTCCTGATATTCTTTATTCCAGCCTTGGGTATTCGGAAAATACACCGTTTAGTCTGAATTGTCATTTCCAATTAAAAGAAGCACTGCTGCAGGTCCCCAAAAGCTTCTTCAGCCTCTAAACTCCCTACAGCTGGACTCTCTGACAACAGAGGAAAACAGGAGTAAAAGCAAGCATTCGAACGGCTGTCCAGTGGTAAATACAGCACTAGTAGCAGAAAATGTGAAGCCTGTGAAGGGCGACAGTCTGCATGAGAAAGACTTTCGGCATTTTAGCTTCAGGACAATTCGATTTAAGTAAAATCTCAATTTTGGGGCTAAAGGGACTAATAACGAGCTAGACACCTTCGCTTACGTTTGTTATACATTAATTGAGGGTTGACACAAACAAGTTCACAGATACCACCCGTTTAATCACTATCCAAATCCAGCAAAGGTAAATGAGAGAAATGTATATTATAAATGTTCCTTGTTTTTTTACTTTGCCCCTGCACTTGGGCTGTCTTACTTGTGATTCTCTGGCCCAGACTGTATTTAGTATGCTGCTTGAGCAGCATGCAGCTTTTCTGCTTCGGCGATCTTGTTTACAAACAGAGATACAAATAAAAATAGTATACCTAACCTGCCAATTCATTCAGAACACCAGCAGCATGTATTGTGCGAGATGTAAATCTATAGTGATGCTCCTGCAATTCTGGCCATATTTATTTATTTTCGTATACCAACTGTGATTTATGCGTTGCCGGCCCTGTCAATCATGCTTACAATGTTGGTTGAAGTTTCACCTGTAGCTACAGGCCATACCTCAATAAAAGCACATAAAAAAATTTACACTTCCTACGAGAAACACGCCAAAAAAAATTAAATAGAAACAAGCGCGCCGACAGCTAGCATCGTAACAGCCTCCACAGGGCTACCTGTGCGAGTCAGGGAAAAATTCTCTCCTCACCGTGACGTCACCCCGGTTTGCCGTAAGGGGGCGCCACGTGAACTTCTCGGGGCTAATAGCCACGTGTCTGTCTGAAATGGCTCTCAGAGTAGCAAAAAGGGGTCACGAGTAAAGAGCGGTCAATAACATTACTACACCTCTTGAGGTGAGAAGTCTGAACCCCACCAGCCTGGCTGCCAGTTTATCCTTCGCTGATCTTCTAGAACATTCCAGTTCAATTTGAAAACTTATGTTCTTGTATTATGGTGCACCGTGCATTCACGAGGGCGCCCATCAAACCACTCGGCCATCTTGGCCGCGAGGCAGCTATGCAGTTGCCTCGCCTCAGAGATGATTACATGGTCGTGTTGCCGCGGGGTCGATCGGGATTTTGAATTCGGCTCCCAAAGGGCCGCTCTCTCTCTCCTAGCCCCTGGAAGGCGCTGCAGGCGCCCCATGGCGGGCGAGGAGAAACCTTCACGCCCATTGATCGAGATATACTCGGTAGACAGGGGGTGAAGAGTCTCTTTGAATTTCGGACGCCACCGAGCCCAGGCAAGTGTGGGGCGACCGGATCTAGGGTAATCGCGGGACACGAGGCCTGGGGACCTTCTTTGTGTTTAGCTTTGGGCTTAACGTGCGTTTGTAAATATTTGTGTGATGTCGCGCGTATTTGTAGTTTCTATTGAGTGTTTTGTAGCGTTGCGCTTTATTGTACCAATAAATGGGAAGCGGAATCCCGCTCCCGTGAAAGAACCAGGCTGGACTCGGTTTGTTGACGGACCACGTGGGAAATGGCGAATCGGCGGCGGTACGCGATTTCCTACAGTTTGGAATGTTCCCATTAATATAACCTCTACAAAAGTAGCCGTGGCTGACTGCATCCAGTGGGTCGCCTTTCCACTTCCGTTTTTGGACTTACGGTGCCCTTTTTGTTTTAGTTGGAGGTACATGTTCGCCCTATTAAACACTAATATTAAGTTCTTATGTGCCCCTATTTTTGTTTTCTTCGTTACAAATTTGCTTTATATTTTGTAAGAACACTCATAGTGTTTTCTTTTTCGAAGTGCGTCACAAAACAATATACACATCTCTATGCTGCACGGTCTTCAAATGATATAGACCATGCTCAACGAACTGCTGGGCGCATTTGATAAATTTTAGAAATTGATGCAAAAAATGCCACTTCTTACCTGTTGAACCAAGTTGTATCTGAAAACAAAAATCATTGTGCAATGCTAAGTAAACTGTGCCTTTGATATTCCATCAAATCACAGCTCCATGTACATTGGCTGTTCCAGAAAATCGTCATCTTTGAAGGCTGTCATTACTGACTAGGGATAAAGACCAGCGAAAATGAGATGATTAGCGTCCAAATATTTACACGGTGATCACTTCTTTTGCGGTAGTAACAAGGAGTCTGTATGCAGTTACTTGCCTGGTGGTCTCTTGTCGGTCACGTGCGAGACGTCCACTTGGTGATTCCTGAGCCGTCTTTTTTTACGGCGCATTTCGGAGGGACACGAATGAACGCCCGGAGAAGGAAACCTTCAAAGCAAAATATAATACACAAACCTAGAAACACGCAACGGTCCGTGGTTAGACAAGAAACAAAGACGAAGTTGCGCAAAAACTCGGTTTCGTGGCAGCTGTCCGTGACCCGTTGTCAGTCCTTAACAAACCAAACGGGATCGACCACTCAATCCGTTGCCACCTTCAAATAAGCGTCATGGCGGCAAGGCTAAGCCAGCTGACAGCCATCATTCAGCAATGTCTCGAGCATCAGCAATAGCTCAAGGCAGAACTTACTCGGTCGCTCGCCGATACAAGTCATTCACATGCTCACCTTTCACATTTGTGATCACGATGTTCTGTACGTTGCAATACGTCACGGCGCTCAGCTTTATCTGCGCCGCTCAGCTTCAGCTGCGTCGCCGTGGGTTCTGGAGTTCCGCACAGAATTTACAGTCAGTACCAGCTTCATTTTATATAAAAGATAGTGTAACAGGTGGAGAAAGTTTAAAGTGCAACTTGAAGTGGCTTCTAAAGCCCCAGCACTTGAAATGTCGTAGTAGCGGAAACAAACGGACAGGGGAGGGTGAGTCAAAATAAACAACGCATAAGGAAAGAGTATTTCATATCAAAAGGTCATAGAATAAAAATATATCGAGTCTAATTATGTTTTATCAAAGTGTGAACAAGCCTGCGATAATAGTACTGAGGCAGGATGGACGTTCAGGAGAAATTAATACTAACTTGGCTGCTGCAAACTGGCGATACGTCGTGAAGTATTGAGCAATGAGACACGTGGAAACAAATAGTATCATTTGCCCTGAGTTTAACAACTTTCATCTCTTAGCAAAGACAAAAAACCTAACTGGCATACATGGAGCGTTTTCTGGAAGAGGCAGTGAGTGTGACCGAGACAAATTGGACGCAACAAAAAACCTAATTTACGATAAGGAAAGAGGGGCATTGAAGACCAACACACAAGGCAGACTTTCGACTTTCAACAAAACGTTTACTGGTTCGACTTCGCCTCCTGATGCTCAACGGGGGGCGTCGGGGAGGTTGAGAGGGACGGTGGTGGGTGAGGGAAGC